TTTTCCCGACTTACCATCCAAACACCTGTTGTTGTACTTCTTATATGCCGTGATGGCATCGTCCTTCTTCACAAAGACCACCTCTGCCACCCCAGGATGGACCAGCCGAGCCCGTTTAAGGGCTCCACACACACAGAAAAGCTCCTGAAAACAAGAGGGGTAGGGGGGATTTGAGGCAGCCAATCTGACTACGTGCCACCCACAAGCTCTGGGAGCTCTGGGCTGGTTGGTGGCTGTACTCCAGCTGTATATGCCCAGCCCCCACCATTCCAACAGGTTCCATTTTAGATAGTGTCCTTCTGATGCTTACAGGATCAGATAAGGGGGCAAGCTGTGCTGGCGGTAAGAAACGAGCCCGGGCTCATAAACCTTGATGTATTTATGACTTCAGCAAATCACCAAAATGTCCTGCCCAGTGTCCACTCCCTCCACAAGGACAGCTGTTAACAGCTCCCTCAGAGAGCTCTATGAGAACGGAAGCATAGGCTCATCGAAGATAGACAGTGGCTAGCACATCACATGAGCTGTATTAGAAATACAAATTCTGGAGCTCTATCCAGAGTGATCAGCTGTCCCAGTGTGCATGAATGAATCAGAGTTCCCCAGGACATGGGGCTTTCAGTAATAAAACTGGGACAGTCCTTGGCAAACCGGGCCTGTTGGTCACCCCAAGACAGTTAGACGGAGGCTTGATCCCTGGGGATCTGCCTCCATCAGCTGTGTGACCTCCAGTAGGTTAAGTTCTCTGAGGCCATTTTGTCTTGTGAAAATAGGCAGAAAAGGATTAGCCTAACCTATTTTCCAAAGCTCAAACGAGTTGATTTAAAAGAGGCAGTGCCTTCTACAAAAGTGTCATTATCCAATCCCTTACTCCAATCCTCTCTTCATTTTACACAGACTGAAGCCAGAGAGGACCTAGGTCTGGACTGGACAGCACAGAAAGTGACTAGCAGCCAAGTGTTTCTTTAGCAAACTACCCATCCCAAGGTTGTGGTGCGAGTCACAATCGAAGGCTCATGAAAAGGCCATAGAAACTAAGCAAAATTAAGATCTGGATCTCAGTACTAAGTGAGATACTGATTCCATTGCTGTTTAAATATTGCATCGGGGTTTCAAATGTGGGTGGAAATCCAGAATTTTTTTCACAGACATTTTGAAGTCCCCTCATACTTCTGAAGAAGAGTCGTGAGGCTGATTATATTGGCCATTTTCTCTAAGTGGTGATCATTACAGATCAGTAGTTTTCCACAATTTCTTATCTTAAAAATCCTATACACAAGGGTCTGGCATGTGCTCAGTCAATGGCAGCAACTATTTCCATGATCAGAGGAATCAGTTCTTCATAAAATGCCACATACTACACAAAGTAGGCTGACTCCCACTCACACGTGCACTAGCATGCTTGCTAGAAAAGAGACCACCTGCTGAGCCAAAGGTCAGAGCAGTTGTGTTTCACAATTAAAACCTTTAACCAACAGTGTGGGCTCCTTATTTCAAATTCACTGCCATGGAGTCAATGCTGACTCATAGCGACCCCATGTGGTTTTCTGAGACTGTAAACGTTTACAGGGTTAGAAAGCTCAGCCTTTCTTCAGCGGAGATGCTGGGAGTTTTGAACTGCTAACCATGTGGATCAGAGCCCAACACATAACCACTAAAACACTAGGGGGCTCCAGGGACTCTGACATTTTGGCTGAGAAAGAGGCTGGATTTTCAGTTATATTCATTTGTGATCTGTTGACTCAAGAGTTAAAACGTTGTCTGGATTTTTAAACTCATCAGTGAAGGGGAAAAGGAAGTCTTGAAAGCACCTGGCGTCTCCAAAAAGTACCTGAATCTACTTTCACCTTCGACTGGATCCAGTGAGGCAGGACAGAGGGTGATCCAGTCAACCACTTACTCAGCACCAGTTTATCTCACTCCTTCCACATCTCATCATGTAAAAAAAAAACCCAGAGGTGGCAGGAGATTCTGAAGGTTTGCAAGAAGAAAACCCTGCCACTGGCTAGTGCACAATAAGAACAGAGGATCCCCCATTTAGGACCCATTCAAGTAGATACCTCAACCTTGAAATGCAAGCCAGGTGCCTGGCCCTGCTTCAAAAACCATGCAGCAAAGCGCTGACCTTTCAAAGGATGGGAGTTAGGCCTTGGCTGGAGTCTGGGAATTTAAGATTTCAGGAGGTTTATACAATTCACCAAGTTGATACAGTGGTTCATGGTGTTCAAATTGTCTGGTTTATTCTAGACATGCACTTTCCTTATGGGAGTAGGGAATTTTGTTAAGTGCTGGGTAAAGGGGGTCTTCCTTTACTCAAAAAATAAAAACAACCTGTAGTCACTGAGTCAATTCTGACTCACAGCAAGCCTCGAGGACAAAGCAGAATTGCTCCTTTGAGTTACTGAGGCTGTAAAACTTTATAGGAGCAGAAAGCCTGGCCTTTCTGCTGCTGTCTCCCTGACTAGTCAAAAGCCCTGGGCACTGAGTTTCCAGTAGCTTCCATGGTAGACAACACATCACATAGGTTGCCACACCTCGTTGCTAGGGAATTAAGTGTTGTCTCCACTGGGGACAGGAGTCTGGAAGCTAAAACCTAGTTTGGCTCCCCTGGACTTTTCTGCTCCCTGTGCCTTCTCCCTTTGCTGCTTGCTTTTCTTTCTGATTGTTGGACTCAATCTGAGCCACGAGGACAACTATATGCTGAGTCACCCTAGCGATCAGGCGGCCTCAAACTACGGCCCGCAGGCTACATGCGGCCCACCGAGGACATTTATCCGGGCTGCCAGGTGCCCCGTTTTTTTACTTCAAAATAAGATATGTGCAGTGTGCACAGGAATTTGTTCAGTTTTTTTTTTTTAAACTATAGTCCAGCCCTCCAACAGGTCTGAGGGACAGTGAACTGGCCCCCCTGTTTAAAAAGTTTGAGGACCCCTGCTAGAGATCATCAAAGCTGGAAGGGGTGATAAAGACCCCTGGTACAGAAGCAGGCTGAGATTTCAAAGGTGGGCAGGCCCAGTACTCACCACGATGTCCTCTTCAGTGACTCGAGGGTGCAAATTATTCACAGTCATTTTGGTACCTTCCAGGGGACTGAGGACAGGCTGCCACATAGACAAGAGCATCTGTCATTATCAGTGGTCAGAAAGCGGATGTGCACTCATACCAACAAACCTCATTCCAGGACAGGCCCAGAGGGAAATATCAAGTATCACAAGGGTCTGTCACATAAGGACCTTCTGACCTCAGCCCCATCCCATCTCCACCCCATTTACTAAGAAAACAACTTCTAGGGGAAGGTGGGGTAGAAAGGGGGAACCGATCACAATGATCTACATATATCCCCCTCCCTGGGGGATGGACAACAGAAAAGTGGGTGAATGGAGACAGCAGTCAATGTAAGACATGAGAAAATAATAATTTATAAATTATAACGGGTTTGTGAAGGGAGGGAGGGGAAAAAATGAGGAGGTGATACCAAGGGCTCAAGAAAGAAAATGTTTTGAGAATGATGATGGCAACAAATGCACAAATGTGCCTGACACAATGGATATATGTATGGATTGTGATTAAGAGTTGTATGAGCCCCCAATAAAATGATTAAAAAAAACAAAACAAAACATTCATCTCACAGATTCTAGACCCTTTCAGGCCTTAAGAGTCTCTGGCCTAGAATGCTATTTTATTTCAAAACCCACACAGCTCAAATACCACTGTCTCCTTGAGGCCTTCCCATTTCCCAAGTGGACCGAGAGACTCTTTCCACAGTGCTCCCCCAGCTCTCTTCTCAGTAGACCTGAACTATAGCACTGGCCATGATGGTCTTTCTGCTGCTCTGCATGTGCTTTGAGGGGCAGTGACTCTAGATCAGTGGTTCTCAACCTGTGGGTTGTGACCCCTCTGGGGGTTGAACGACCCTTTCAGAGGGGTCGCCCGGTTCATAACAGCAGCAAAATGACAATTATGAAGTAGCAATGAACATAATTTTATGGTTGGGGGGGGTCACCAAAACATGAGGAACTGCATTAAAGGGCCACAGCATTAGGAAGGTTGAGAACCACTGCTCTAGATGCACTGTGAGGATAAGACAGTCTACGCTTAGAGCCCAGCACCCCACCGACCCCGCACAGGCTGACTCTCCACCAGTCTGGGCACTTCCTATACTTCACCTTTAACTCACCTCAACCAGAGGCAGCTCTTTTGGGGGTTCGTCCTTGTTCACCAGTGTCCGGGACATGTTGCTCATGGGTTTTGTTCGAACAGAAGAGGGAGGAGCAGGAGCTGTGTAGGCATCATTTTGGACCACTTTGGTGAGAGGGAGGGCCTTTGGCAAGGACAGCTTGAAACTGCTCAGGCCAGGCTAAACAAAAAAGCAGAAAGAAATATCAGAAGCTGAACCAGGCCCTCTTCAGATGAAGCCCCAAGAGGCTGCATACCAGCACACACCTTCGGTGTCTCAATTCTAGTTCAGGTCTGGAGTAAAAGAGGCTGTGGCTGACAGTGACATCCCAAGGGGCCAAGAAGGGAAGTAGGGTGCAAAATCAGAGCCCAGACATGTGCTCTCAAAAGCTGCTTTCCACGGTGCTTTTTGGCAAGAAGCTTCCACCCAGCCCTGACCTGGAAACTCACCCAAAAATCACAGGCTCTCCCATACCATTTAGACTATGGAAACACCATGATTTAGGGCTAGCCAGAGGCAAAACGTTGGGGTAAAGTTTATGCCCAGATACGCTTCTAGCACAACAGGTAGACCACCAGCTCCAGGCTGGCTGGGCCCAGGGACCCTTAAGCACCAAGCATAAACCTGCTGGGGACAAGCTCCAAAGGGACTGCCCACCCCCATCAACTCTCAGACTGTTGGGGACATGCCAGCACAGCTGCACTACCATACTTGGGATGAGGTTCCCTGGGTAAGGCATAACAGTAACTTGCTTTGCATAGGTGTGTTTGAGGAAAAAGATGGGTGAAGATGAAGTGGCAGGTGGTCATAGCAATTGAGAGCAGGGCTTACCAGTCGCTGCTCCAGGAAGAAACAAAACAGCCAGAGAGGCAGACCAGAGAATGGGCAGGGCTGATCTGTTCAGCTTCTCCAAGCAGCGAGGGTCAACATTCCCAAGCTGCTCTCTGAGTCTCAGGAGCCAGTTTGGTGTCATGCTTAAACACAGGGGCCCAGGAGCCAGGAGGCTAACGCATGAACCCTAGTAGCTCCACTACTTTCAAGCTGGGTGACAGAGGCCGGATTATTTAGTCTCTCTGTATCCGATTCCTTTATCTGTAAAATGGGAATAATAGTACCCACTTCATGGGGGGTGTGTGTGTATGTGTACACCCACCTTATATGAATGAATATTAACAAAGCATTTAGACTGGCACCTTTTGGCTTCACACATGACTTTCCACATGCTCAGTACAGTGACCAAAACAGAGTCCTTTGACCTCTGAGGTGAACCCTGCCGGCTCTATCTCACTTTGGCAGCCCCCGCTCAGCAGCTTGGCCCTTAGGACACTCCCTGTTGCATTCCATCCACAGCCGCCGGACCTGCACCCTGACCCTACAAGCTTCCCTCCACAGATGGAATCTGGAGAAGCACCCAGGGATGACTGATGTATCTGTGCACAACCACCAACCAAGGCAACCTGGAATCAGAGAACAGGGCCAGAGCGGCTAGCGATGGAACCTACGGCATACAGGCTGTCCTGTCTCAAAGGAAAAGGAGACCCCTTTGAGAGAGGTAACTCGTGTTTTCTCTGGTCTCACACACAGTAACTGGGGCCTGCAGCTCTGCACTTTGCTAGCCATGAACCTTGAGTTAATCCCTGATACCCCCCACTGGGATAAAAGGCAGGAGTGGACCTAGTTCCAGTTCTGACAATGTTTATGACTCCAACGAAGAATCATGTCTGCACTGAAAGCCCTCCTCTCCACACCCTCTCCCATCTACCTGATAGCAAAGACAGTTGAGTGTAGAAAAACATAAAATGCTGCCCCAAATGGCAAATGTTTTATTATACATATTCTACCAGAATGAAAAATGTGAATAAAATGCCATACCGCATGGAAGTGAAAGCTGCCTGCGGCTGGGAATTTCATCTGTTTACTAGGAATGGGGGCTAGGCCATCCTCCTCTTCGTCCAAGTCATATGAATTCTGAGAATAAAGAAATAGAAGCTAGTGTGGTCTCTTAGTCAAGAGCTCAGAGCTCTTACTGCAGCCTGGAAAGCAAAGGAGGGAGATGACTGCAATTCTGACAAGAAACCAAAGGAGAAGTGGAGAAGCCTGGGGGGACAGAGGGGAGGGGCTTCAGAGCCTACCAGGCTGACTTTCTGACAAGAAGTTCTGACACTTCCAGCTCAATCAAAAGTGCCAAAAGGGAGCAATATCTATCATAAATCTTCCAAATTTTGTTTCTGTCCTTTGGCTCAGAAAGCCCAGCCCAGGGAATCTAGCCAATAGAAGTAAATCTTAAATCTCAAAGGAGACTTAGCCACAAAGATGCTCATAGTAGGATTTCTAATAGCGAAAATTAGAGGGAAACTGAATGAACTGTGAAACATACTGAATGGGCAATGCAGTTACTAAAAATGTCAATGTGAAATATCACAGAAAAATACTTGAATTGTAAAGCAAAATAATTACAACTTGACATTTAATCAGTAATAGTGACCATGAAAAAAAATAACAGGTAGGAAATGTGGGAAATTTTAATAGTGGTTGGCTTTGGGAATAAGAAGCCTGGTGGCATGTGGGTTGTGTTGGGCAACTGCAAGGTCAGCGATTCAAATCCACTAGACAGATGAGACTTCCTACTCTCATAAATAGTTACCGTCTCAGAAACCCAGACAGTTCTACCCTTTCTATAGTCACGAGTCAGAATCCACTTGATGGCAGTGAGTTTGCGGGGTTTTTCTGAGAGCGTAAACAGGAAGAACACTTTCTCTTATTCCTACCTCGTGACTATCCCATATTAAATACATGCTATTTTTATAATAAAAGAATTAATAGACTTCCAATTTTCCTTTCTGTCCCTTATGGCCTTCCTTTACCTATTAAGAGGTTTCTTCTTATTAAAACTCATCAATTGCAAATAGTCAAACATAAACATGCCCCACCCTCCACCCCCACCTTTCACTGGGACCCTCAGTCAACCCACCCAGCCCACCTCACCAAGCAGCCCCTACCTGTTTGGTCTGGTTATTGACAACGTTGATCCTCATTCCAGCAGGATGGGTGTGAAGTGGCACCACGGTCTTGTGCTGTGGGACCTAGAAACACTCCCTGGTCAGAATGTCCCACAGGAACACATGGGTTCTCTGTGAGGAGAACACTGAGCCTGCCAGATGGCGGCCAGCCCCTTTTGCCCCTTGGTGAAAGGTAATAAATAGGGTGTCTCACCGCCCAAAGCAGGAAAGCAAGGGGAACTGTCCTCCCAGAGACTGTGGGAGTCTATCTAGGGAGGACCCAAGGGACCTGCTGCTGTCACTATCAGCAAGGGTGCCGTGGAGATCAAGTGCCCGTTTGCTTTCCTTCGAAGGCCAGAGCATTGAACTACGAGCAGAAACTGGACTGACACCCGCCCCCCCCCCCCGAAAACTGGGCAATAACCCCATGGTTGCCAGGAGGAACAATGTATGGCAGGCGCCTGCCACACCTCACGTGCTCAGCCATGTTCTGTCTTCCCCCTTCCTTCTTCCACCATCATTTTCACTTGGGAAAGTCACTCTCTCTGCACTCCCATTTTCTTTTCGCACAAAACTGACATCGTCCCTCGCCCTCTACATGAAAGGCAAAGTGCTAATCTAACCCTTTAGGGAACTGTCAGTGTTGTCCCACCTGTACAGTTGTCTCTGGTTGTCTGGGATTTTATGACAAAAACCGTAACCCACCTGGATGGTTTTGGTGAGCTTCAGAGCTGGGGTCACTGTCCCGATGGGTGGGCTCATGAAAACAGCAGGAGAATTTCGCTTCAAGCTGATCTTCTCCCGAGCATCAGCTACCTGGTGTGGCTTTTGGGGCACTGTGCTCTGCTGCTTGCGGGAGTTGAGCATTTCTCGGGCATCCTGCACGTTCCCTTTGATCCGGAACCGGGCATCTTTCTGCAGAAGCTTCTCCCGGGCATCCTTGACTCCTAGCTTGAGGCGGGCATCTGACAGGCCAATCTTCTGACGGGCATCAAATCTATGCTGGAAGGCAGCAGGGCGTGCTGGATGGTTAAGAAGGCTCTGCTGGATCCCAACCCGAGACTGAACACCTCCAATTCCTGGTCTGATGTTGAGCCTACAAACAAAAAATGGTGTATTCAGTGGATCTGGGTAGCTACAGGCTCACGGCTGTGGTCACACTTGGAGAACCCTGCTGGAGCAGCAAGGAAACCTACAGAAGAAAAGCAAGAGGCTTCCCTAATGCTGTGTAAAGGTAGGGAAGGGGGGCTGGAGACTTCCACAACTCCTTACTCTGGGCTCCCTAGAGCCAGTGTTTTGAGACCCCCATTATGGACAATGCCCTCAAGCAGTGCTACTCAGATAAAATACACGGCCTCAAAATATCTTAACCCCATATACCCAAAGATCAATTTTAGTTTCCAAAGCTCTTCCATATATAAAGTCTTTCAACCAGGCTGCCCAGCACCCTATAAGGTGGCATTACTCTGCCTGTTTTTCTTTGAGAAACAAGATGAGAGGTTAGTGCTGATTAACAACCAACTGGCGGAAGCCGAGAAAGCCACCAGATGGGTCTCGTTTAGAGTCAGAGGACTAACAGATTGAAAACTATAAAGAAACCATAAAGAAAAAGAAAATCACTCTGCAGCAAGACATCAAATTCAGAAACTCTTACCACTGGGAATGAACTCCGTCAACTTGTATTAAGAGGCCCCATGTTCTCTTTCCAGTTTCCTCTGCTGACCCTTTCAGTGGGACTGGGAGTGAGACTTCTCAGAAACCTTTCCTGGGGTCTGCTGGCTTCTCCTGACTCAACCACACTAGACCGGCCCATGACCATAAACCCGAGCCACGGCTCCCAGTCAGCACCTGCCTGGGTCACCCTACTCCTCCAGCATTGTTTCCTCTGGGAAACCCTCCCTGATTCCTCCTGGGACAACCCCAGGGAGAACTTTCGCTCCCTGCTCTGGGCTGGGGCTGGGAGGGCAGAGTTGGCTCATTCCATTTCCAGAGCCCAGTGCCTCCCTCCTCTAAGCAGTGCTTAGCCTTGGCTGAGGGTCAGAAATGCCTGAGAAAACTTAAAGAAATACAGCTGTCCAGATCCCACCGGAGATCTACTGAAGCCAAAGCCATAGGGGAGAACAGGGGGTGGACACGACACGGCCTAGGCATCTACATTTTTTCATTCTACAGATGATATCAGAGAAAGGTTAGCCTGACAAGTCTCAGAACTGGCATTTTCTGCTGGATGAATAAGTTCCTATTCCCAGTCCCATTTCACTGCCCAAGCCCTCATCGTGGGCAAGTCCCCAGAACCGCCTACTGCCTCAGTCTTCCAATGACAGGATGGAGCTGAGCAGAGTGTACACACAAGCCTCTGTCTAGTACTAGTACTGGACCTTTATCTCACGACCTTTCAAATAACAGAAAAACCATCTGCTGTCTGCAAGAGGCCAGAGCAGACCTAGGCCAATGAGGCACAGCTTCAGGGTTCTTTGGGAAAATAGCAAAACTTTCTTGAGGGGTTAAATATTTTCCAGCGAGGTGGAAGAGACGGTAAAAAGGCCATTTATGGAAGTCAGTGTTATAAGAGGTTGGGGGCTGCTTGCGAATCTGCTCTATCTTCTCATTTATAGGCACTCTTAAAAAATGGAGGTGTTTGGGAGAGCAGAGTCAGAAGGAATGGGGTGTGTAGGACGGCAGTAAGCGCCACCAGGAGAAAGGAAGGAGCTATGTAACAGAGCGCACATCCACCTCCCTGATCTGGGCGCCACTCTAGGGTTCTTGGCTCACAATCTTTACTTAGTCAACTGCTTTTTTTCCATGTGCAAAGTTAGAAGCAAGATTGGGCCTATGGTTTGGGGTGAGCCCAGAAACCTGTAGCCACATTTAGGGTACTTTTTAATGCTTTAAACTCCCATACATCTACTGATGGTGCCATCAAAGAAAGCCACGGACTATCAGTGCAGACCAGGAGTTTCAAATGAAGGCGACTCATAAAATAGAGAGGGACTCTTATCAGTGTACAGGGTCCAGATCCAGATGAAAGCAAGGCTAGTAGAAAGCAGTTCCAATGGACCCATCACTCGGCATGCACTGGGCCCCTCCAAAGTCACCAAGACCAATAGGAGCATGGTGAGGAGCAGGCCTCCAGCAGCTCCCAACAGGATTGGGAGACAGTTAACTCCTGACACTAGGAAAGAGAGGTGCAAAGTGTATCTTGACACCACAGGCTACTGGACAGGCAAAGGGCTGTGGGAGAGCTAAAAGCAGGCCCAGGGCACCTGGGAAGAGCAGAGCATGAAAGGGCGGTCTGAGCGGAGGGATCCAATGTGGGGTCCGCCCTACAGCTGTGCCACGACAGTCTTTGCTCAGTTACTCTGATGGGCACTTTCCTTATTCCCTCAGTCCTCTGTCCTCCCAACCAGGAAGCCTCCAGTCTTTGGCATTCTCTGCTCTGGGAGCTCAGCACAGTAGACAAAGCATCAGCACGGAAGTGTTTTGTTTACAAGTCTGCATCTCTGGGAACTGAAAGCTTCTCAGGAGCACAGTCCACATGGCCTCGGGCCTCTGAGAGTGTTCCCCTCCTTAGTCCCTGATTTGGGATGGGGAGGCGGTGTCAGGACTGCCTCAGAGCTTCTCCCTCATGCTGTCCTGTTAGGTTCAAGGTTGAGGTTGGCTGCCCTCACCTCCATTTAGAGGGGAACAGAATCAGAGTTCGTGACATGGCTAAGTCTGGACCCTGGACCTGCAAGACTCCTGAGGCAGATCTGCCCAGCACAACTGGCTTAAATTAAGGTCCCCTCCTTCCTTCTCCTAGGCCCCAGGATGTTAAGAATGGGGAGAAGGGTTTCAGAGAGAAGACTGCCTCTCAAAGGCATCTGTCCACCCCGCCTGCACCAAGTAGCCCAGCACACTGCTAGGTGTGGCCTTCTATCACCATACCCAGCTGAGAGGGGGACTAGGGTGCCAAACCCCAGCCTGCAATGATCCCAATCCCTTGGTTTGGTCCTCGTGCAGGAACTGGAAGACAGAAGCTAGTCTCTCACTGAGCAATGGACCAGGCAGCATAAACATGCATCATACACACATCCCAATCCAAACCAGGGCCACAGAGATTCCCAATCCTCTGTCTTCTCCAAATTCCACCCCCTCCAAATGGGATATTTACAATTGGGGGGGGGGGGGAGCTGATCCCATCATGGTATAGGCCACGATGTTAAAATTCCAGAAAACTGAACATGACTAGACTCCACAGTATCTGCAAGGCTCTCAGGAAGTTATCTAATTTCACCAGTCAAGTCACAAAAGATTATAGCCAAGAAAAAAAAGGGAAAGGGAAAAAAGGTATAGGCAGCTGAAAGCCATCTTTTTCAAACAGGCACGGGAGTCAGATTCTTGAAAACATATGTCCTATCCCTGAACAGACATTGGAGAAAAGGGCAAGCTTCCTGGTTCACTCCAATTTTGTATGGTTGTTAAGCATATCTCTGCGGAAGGGATCAGACATATTCCCAGTCCTCAACGTCGCACCTCTTCTCTACCCTTGGTAAAGGCTGCTTGTTGAGAATTCTGAGGAAATTCCAGATTCCATGAGAGCTAGGGTAAAGTAACATTTGTCACAGTCATATGAAGGGGCCACTTGTTTATGAAGGACTTTAACTACAGGCCCCCAAACTCTGATATACATACCTCCTTTAAACTTTATAACCTGTGAGTTTAATATCCACATTTTGTAGATAAGAAAACTGAGGCTCAAGGCAATTTCCTCTCCCACAACCACAGAAACACAAAATGTGAAGTTTGGATTCGAGCCTCTTTGTCTAGTTAAAATGAACTCTGGTGGTATTGTGGGTTAGATGTTGGGCAACAGGTCAAACTCATTAGCTAAGGCTGCCTGCTCCCATAAAGATTTCATCTCTGAAACCTTTGAGCCAGCACTTCTTCTACCTGTCCTGCAAAGTTTATCTCCGGTTTACCTATAGTTGGGTTAATCTCTAGTTAAACCAAACCCATTGCCATGGCGTGGATTCTGACTTAGGAGAGCTTCAATTCTGAGCATCTGGAAGAGTAGGTTCACCGTGAAGGCCCCCAGTTCAGCTTTGAGTTTCCACAGATTCCACCTCCACTGAGTTCTGACCTTTGACTGGCAATGTGAACGTCTTTGACCTCAGGAAGTATTTAAAAATGGAATTCTACCAGTCCCCCAGCCAGCCCAGGGAGGGAGGGACTTGTCTGGGTGTGCCCTTGGTAGAAATTGGGGTACTGGATGGTACAGTCATGCCACGCCCTGCCTTGAACCCAATCGCATGCTCTTTTAATTCTGCAATAGTGTACATATCCCACCCAATCCAGGTCCCTTTCCCATTTCTATAGTCCCAACTGCAGCTGTGATAAACTGACCTGCCACCAACCACGATTTTGTGAACGTGACCGTTTCCTTTGTTCTCCATGTCCTATGGAAATGGCTGCATGGTTATGAATCCTTGGACACCATTATAGCCTAGTGTTGATGGGCTCCCTCATCTGGACGATTTACCTATGTCCTGGTAAGGACTTAGTAAGTGGGTCTCAATAAATTCCATTTAAATTTGGGGTCACTTTCCCCCTAAATACCCTACAGGCCAGAGTAAAACTGGTTGCCAGGGCTCCAAGACTGTATACCTTTACGGAAGCATGCAGGCTCAGGTTTATTCTTTGGAGTGGCTGTTGGGTCTGAACCACCACAAACTCCAAACTCATTGCCATCAAGTCGATTCCGACTCACAGAGACACACTACAGGGCAGGGTAGAAGTGCTGCTACACCACAGGGCTTCTCCAACAATTAAGCAGAGCTCAAAATAAGGACCAGCTTCATGAAAGGGGAGTTTTTGCACACCCCCCCTACTGATTGAGGAAAATCTTAAGATTAAACAAACAAAATTTAAATCTTTAAGATTCTAGTCACACTCAGGACCCTCCCAAGTCTACCCTATCCCTGCCCCACTCCAAGGTTGGTCAACAGTTCCCTCCTTCTGGGGAGCCACATGCCATTCAGCTTCGTGAAAAAGGCCATTAGGATGCTCTGTGCTGCCTTTTTATCTATTTGAACAACAAGAAAGGGCACATTTGGAGGAGGGAGGCAATGAGACGAGCAGGAACAGCATGGTGAAGCTACTTCCCCTCAACTGGGTGCCTTCAGTTCCCCGGCTACACCAGTCCTTTCAAGTCCTTTCGTGATGGGCATTGGGGGCATCTGTGTTACAGCTTCTGATGGGCTCCATGCCTCTGAAAAGACAGCGATTCATCTCGGCAGGCAGCAGTGCTGGTATCAGGCCCACATTAGTCCTCAGGAAGTTTTCAACTAAATACCCCTGCTGGGGAGTCGATCTCTAAAACAGAGGGTCAACTATGCTATCCTTCTGCTCCAGACCTGTCCCTAGCTCCCTAACCAAGTCCAGTCCTTCAATGGTACCTCTGGCTGGCCCCATCTCCTGCCCCTAGCCTCAGTGACCACTGTGGGGGCCATTTCATGTTTCCGACATACTCTGCACTTCTGCCTCAGCAAAATTGTTTTGTGTGTGTGGTGGGGGAAGAAAGTTTTGAACACATCTCCTAACGCCCTCAACTCCATCACATACTACAGAGTGCAAATCAGCAACAGCTCCAGGCCCTCACTAGGTATTCCAGGGAGTCTGGGAGCTAAGAACCAGTGCTACCCACCTGCAGTCCTCAATGGGGTGGCAAGATGGTAAACGCCCTACTGAACCCTGAGCTCTCACTAGAGTTCTCCCACTAGAGCACCCCCCGCCCCCCATACAGAGGGTCTGTATGCTGCAGGGAATGCCTCTTCCTCTAGGCTTTGCCAGTGGAGGGCAGGGTGGCAGGCAGTTCTGGACAGATGTCTAGTCCAAAGGACTCATGCCCATGGAAGGAGCCCAGAATTATTCCAATGTGAATACACGTGTTTGGGGTGACTGGTCACTAACCAATAGGTTGGAGCCCACCCAGTGGCACCTCAGAAGAAAAGCCTGACCACCTTCTGAATTACTTCTGAAAAAACATCCACTGACAACCCCAAGGGCACACGGCTCCACCCGACACACCAGGTCACCAGGAGTGGGGAGCAACTAGACGATAACGGGTTTTACACAAAGATAAGCACAGAATTCCCATGTCCTCTGCCAGTCTGGTGCAGGCACTTCATTTTAAAACACCATTCTTTCCCCCCACGAAATGTCAATTCCACCCTCAAGGTCTACATTTCCTCCATCTTATTTCAACCAGGAAACAAGTGATGAGTGCCAAGACTCCCTGGCATGAACTGAAAATGTGGCCTCACACCATCTCTAAGGCGCCATGGACTCCCCACCAGATGGAGCATCTGGCCAAAGCTGCCGACCCCGACACACTCAGGCTCACAAAGACTACCCTCTTGACCTAACATCTGGGGATCACGGAACAGACAGTTATCCAAACAGCAACCTGTTTCTTCTACCTTAGACTCTCTGCCTTTCCCCTCCCTTAATCCAATCACCCCCCAAATAGCAAAACATTCCCAGACTGAAAATTACACCATATTCCTCACTTAAAAAGCCTTCTTCAATGATGGCAATGAAAGCTAGCACTCTTGGGTGCTTAGCATCTGCCAAGCTCTTCCCAGAAGCACTGTAGTTATGGTCACTTAATCCTGACAATAAGCGAATAAAGTATGCAGTACCCACATTTCCTAAAGAGCCGCACCAAAAGCGTCTACGATCACATGAAGGTGAGGAACAGCTGGGAATTGAACCGTGCAGTCTGGTTCTAAGGCCCAAAGGCTAGCTACCTTTCATACCTCCCGCAAGGGGCACGACTCATGATAAGGCCACAATTTGCTGAATGCTTAGTATGCAGGCTGGTTAGACATTACGATTACAAGCTTTCAAAAACACCCTTGTTCTCTCAGATCCTCACTTCCAAAATGACAAAGAAAAGGAGAGAAAAGCAGTGTGTCCAAAAGGGCCTGACCTTGCGCAGCCTGGTGCTGAGGAAGAGGCAGCTGGGGCACATTCTGAGAACCAAACTGCCCTCACCTCACACAAGCTCCTACTAAGAAGTTCTTCATTGGAAACTGTGCAGGCCACAGTTGTCAGGGACACTAGCCAAATGAGTGTTTTTGACACCCAGGCCCCTACCAAGGTATGGGTGAAACAACATTGTAATAGCCAGCTTCAAGTAGCTGAGCTGAGCTCCGTGGAGTGGTTTTGTTTGAACTCTTTCTGTAAGTGCTGACCTGTTGCCATTTATTTTTGTAATTGGCGATCTTGCTTGTATACCCTTTTCCTACTTCTTGAAGATGTTTTTATGAAGCCATGCACCTCAGGACAGAAACTGAACAAGTATCTGGCATCTGCAGCATAAAAATAAGTTCAACAAGTTCCGGTTTCTCCATATAGCATAACACTACCTGCCCCTATATCTTGTTTATTCCACAGTATAAAACAAACCATTTCTAATCATTCGAAGTCAAGAATGGCTTAAGCAATGGCTGACACTGTCTGCCAGCAATACACTTCGCTGGGATCTCATGAACAACATCGCTGTGTGAGTAGGTGGTCAGGAAGGCCCAGACACCCGCACTCCGTTTTGGACCTGCGGGAGCTGCCCCACAACCCCCACAACACGGAAACCAACTGGAAAATAACAAACAAGCACAATCCCAGTTAATCCTCTCCTCCGGATGGGCCCTCCTACGGGGACCCATCAAAACAAACTGAGCAGTCCGAGGCAGGCAGAGCGGGGGAGGCACCGAGCCATCCTGCGGACCTGGCTCTGCCCCGGGTCCCCCCTAAGCCTCAGCACAGCAACTCCTTTCAACAACAACCGAGGATCTGGGGGCCCAGAAGGGTCCCAGGTGGCAAGAGCAAGAGCCTCTTCTTCCCCTCCCCCTCCCCCCACCCAGTTACTGGGAGAGAGGGTCTCACAGAGAAGACGAGGACACCAACAAGTGCAGCATCGCCTTGACCCAGAGGCTTGGTGGATTCTGAGGGGGTGGCTGTGGAGAGAGAGTGGGGGGTGAACATGTGGCTTCTAGCCACATCGGAGACACTCTGAGCCCGCTGTAACCAACGCGTCACATGCACTGCGGTCTCCCCAGGGTGCAAACCCATCCGAGGCGCGTTAGGGCCCTCACCCTAGGGCGCCAGGCATCTGGAAAACGAAGCAAGGGCAGGCATCTAGCATCTCTACACAGCGGGGCAGTGACTGAGGGCCCGGCTGTGAGCACAGATCTGGGGTTCGACCCACCCACGCACGGCCGCTGGGTCCCCGGGTGCCCCGGGCAGTCGGCCGGCCTGCACTGGGCCGACAGGGGGCCGG